TCAGCAGGTAAGGTACTCATTTATTTTCACCCATTCTAGTCAGTATAGAACTTTATACCATGGTTGTTATTATTGTAGTAGTGCATTATGTAATGTGACTATTTGTCAGATGCTGTTTATCGTACTCTTGTTCCCAGAAGAAAATAGTGTACAAAAGTATCTTGTTTGCTAGGTATATATTTCTTATTCATATACACGTAATTAATATACAGAATACAAGGCTAGAAGAAATTTGTTTTGCACTTCAGCTGGAAGGGGGAAGTTTTGTCTGAAATCATTAACTTCTAGAAGAATTCTGTGGGAAGCAAGGATTTCTTGGGAGATTGTCATTGTTCTTTAGCCAGTAGAGAAAAATTTCTCATCTGTCTTCACAAAAAAACTCCAAAAGTTACACAACTTCAGAAGTCCTTAGCTTATGCCATGGACAGTCTTGGTGATAAAAGCAGACAACTCAAACTTCATTTACTAATCTATATTAAGATAATGTGGTGAGCAGTTGACAAGTCTGATGTGTTAACAGTATTCTGCACTGTTGAAGAGGAGGGACTGAAACAGAGTACATTCGGTGTTCTGTAGTAGTTGAAGATTCCTGAGTCCAGAAGGCTTCATACCTGCCTTTACTACCTTGCTGTAGGACAATCTGAAGCACACAGACAACTAGGAACAGTTAAGGTCCCAAGTTAAGCAACCACTTGAAACAAGCTGAATGCAGCCGAACCTAACGCTCTTTTCAAGGTCTTCCATTACCAGGAATTGACCAGAAAGACCACAAATCGTGCAGAACAGTATCTGCTTGAACCATTGCGAGATCTTTGTGATGTTAATGATATTAAATTACTTAGGAAAGTCATGACATTTTTACATAGGTATTTAATCTGGATTTGTAATACTACAAATGTAATACTATTTTTTTAAATTATTTGGGAAAGTCTTAACTAATCAGAATGCAGAAAACCGTTGTTAGTACATTTACAATAATACTAATACTACTAGTCTAAATTACATAGTTATATAAAAGCATCAGTAATACAGTTAGAATTATTATTTTTTTTAGTTGCCTCATTTCTACCTGTTTTCCCTGGTGTTATGCTCACCTTTCCGATTTTCCTTTAGGTCCTAAGATCAACTCTTCAGTCTTCTTTGGGAAGAATGATATGGGTGGGGGGAGAGGTACAGAAGTGGTTTTGAAAAGTTGTCGTCATCATCATCATCTGGAGTTCTTTGCTTCAATTAGTATGGTGGTGTTGATGGGGATGTTCTTATTCACTGATCTTGGGTCTACTTGGGGTTATGCTGATACGTTTTGTTAACACTGTCTGCTTTGGTGGTCTTTAATTTTGGAGATTACTCATTATCCATTTTTCCTATTATTTTTGTTACTTGCCAAAAGAGTTTTACCTCATTCACAATGTGAATTTTTGTAGCATTCCTAGTAAGACTGATCTTTGAGCATTGTGATTTTTGTTGACAACTGGGACCTCTGGTATCACCCTGTATCTTCACTCAACAACACATTGCATTCTAGAATCAGAGTTTACTCCGATTACTGAATAACTTCTTGTTGCAATCTGTTATCAGATAGTTATTACACATTACAATAAAGCTAAAACAGATTTTAAAATATTCACATGACTACTAACATGTTGTTGCAGCTAAAATAATCTAAAATGAAATGCAGTTACGATAAGCCCAGTCTGGTGCTGAAAGGGTAGTGTCAATACAAATTTGTGACCTAGTAATGGCAAGATTGTATTTATATGAAACACTAAATACTGCTGGCTGCATTCACTTTAGTTACGATCTTTATTTTCCATGTTTTAGAAAGGGGTATCCAAAATGGATGGATGAACTGCTTTTCTGTAAAGGATATGAGCATTAAATGTTCTTTTTATTTTTGATACCTGGATTTTTGTCTGCAAGACTCTTATCTAGTGTATAAATATTAGAGATATTTCAAAAGACCAGCATCACTAGTAATCTAGAGTCCATATAATATGAAGTTACCTAGATTAACACATTGTATAAATATTAATTCTCTGCATAAATTATTTGTGTTGACTGCAGAAAATGCTTGACTACCTCAAGGATAAAAAGGATGTGGGGTTTTTTCAAAGCCTTGCTGGTCTCATGCAGTCCTGCAGGTAAGAAAATATCTACTTAAAAAAAAAATACTATTTTGCATTTAGGCTTTATTCCACAGGGTTTATAGTTTTGGAAAGATCCTCTACATACTTTCTGCAAACAGCACCTGGGGAATGTAAGGTGCTAGATTTAGGGTAAAGAACAAGGTGGTGCTCACGGTATGAAAATCTTCATATGATACGGATCTACCTTGGTAAAATTGCTCTATTCACAAATGTTTATGGCATTTGTGTCTACTTGAGATATGCTGGAAAACAACTCCAGAGTTAGGAGCATTCCTCAGGGGCAAATTGATAACTCTGGAGTTATCCTGTAATCCTGCAGAGATCAGGTTAATGATCAATGTTAAGTAATCATAAAGATTTTGGGAAAACTCAACTTGTGAGAAATACTAATCGGACTTTTTAGAAGGTAGACAAAGGAATGGAATATTCTGTTTTAATAAACCATGGTGGTACTGTGACTTTTCTGTCATTTCTGCTTCTCGACAGTTTACATTGATTTTATATATATAAATATATATTTAAATGTTTTATATATAATTCCTAAGAATAAACCATATCAATAAATAATGTATTAATGAACATAAAACATAGAACTAAAAGGGGCTTCCTGGATCAAGCAGTTCGATCTTCTGTCAAGGGTACCATGTTATATTCTTTTTTCTTAACACTGTCTTTGGCCAAGTTTCATTTTGAGATCAGTGAGGTTTCTTGCCAGCAGAGCTACTGGTGTAGTTCATCTGCATTCATCTGACTTTCATAAACATTCTTGCTTATGAACAAAAGTTATCCATGGCTAGCTGACATGTTTAGCCACGAAAGGCAGAACTTTTCAGATTCGGAAATGGAATATGTAAGAGTTCCTTAAATCTGGTTGGTTGAATACGTATTCATCTTTGGCAGCTTCATTTTTTCAGAATGTGGAGGGAAAGGAACGCTGAGTGGAGCTAACAATGACATAGTTTCTTAGTGGACCTTGCTGCTTGGGATGAACTGGGCTATAATATAAAAGTAGTCAATAATATGGCTTCTTTGTAACCCGGAAAATGAGTATGTATATCATAAACACATACATGCTCTTTTTTTGGTCAATCATAAAGAGCTGAAGCAGAGCAAAACCAGGTTATGTCTGTAGAACTGAGTTTCATAATCTTGTAGCAGACATATTAAGCCAGTGAAATGTATCTTCTTGACACTAGTATGATTATATACTTAAATGAAATCACAAATCCTTCTCTTTCACAAAATGAAATATTTCATGTATTTAATTAATCACAGGACAAATGTAATTTTTCTCATTGCAGTGTTCTTGACCTAAATGCATTTGAACGTCAGAACAAAGCAGAAGGCCTTGGCATGGTGACTGAAGAGGGATCAGGTACTATCGATATAACAGAAATGATCTGTGAACTTTTCTCTTTTACATTTTCCAGAAGCAAGCTGAATTTGAAAGAACTCTGTAAATATATATGTATAGAGGCTGAAGCTAAAATATGATTCTTAAAAGTGGTTTATAATTAATTGGTTTACATAGGCCCATGCTCGTTAATAGTAAATCACTAGCCTGTGTTGAGTTTCAGACCGGTCTCAGAGGACTCTTACCCATCATTCTGAAGAAGTGAAGACATTGCATTTAAAATCAAAAACAGATTCTGTTTACCAACAGCAGTGTTGATGCATGTTAAACATTTCAGATGTCCCTAACCAGTTTCAGCATAAACTAAAATTAAGAATTCCCACCTGATTTCTTAAACTGTCTTGGCTGAAATGAAAAACAGACAATTTAGTTAAGCTCTAAGTTAAATATTAGAGGTTGAGGGAACTGTATCTGCTGTTTGGAAAAAAAGTCTTCTGGGAAAGCTTTTTCTTTGCAGTAATTCTTTTCTGTTTGTCTTTGGGGAAATATTACAAAATTTTCGCTTTACTTTTGACTTTGAACCAATTCTTTCTACTCTCTGTGTTGCCAGTTTGCTGTCAATTTCTTTCTTCTGTCTGACAGTAAATTCTACTATTCCCTTACTGCGATTGTCTGGAAACGTTAGGTTCATTCTTATGTGAGTTGATGGAGCTACCAAAGCACATTTTCTCCCCATGTATTCAGTGTTTTTTACAATACATTTTTATGTTTAAATCCTACAGTGACCTAATCTTTTAACATGTTTTTATCTTAAACACAAGGTAAAAAAGCTTTACTGTATAATCATTATTGCATTTGGGAGCTCATAATTCATACCTGCAACACTGCATATCTCATTGGCTATTGTGCCTGTAGCTCTTTTATGTGGCATATTTCTTGAATATTCAACTGCTTGTCTCAAATCAAAATCATGACCTATTAAATTTGACTGAACAACTTCAAGACCGATCATAACTGCTGCTTCTCCAAAAGTGCTCCCACAGTTTAAATTATAGATAAAATCCTGCTAGACTTATATGAGTAAACAAAATAAAGTGAACCCATGTGGATAAAATTTGGTCACGAGATTGTGGATTGAGCACTGAGGCAGCTGTCTGGCATATAAGGTTTTGGCCGTTACTTTCATGTTTTACTGAAGATTATTCTGCACAATGTTTTGCTCTTTTAGAAAACATTTCTACTATGAAATAATCAAATGTAGTATTTATAATGTTGGATTTTGAAATGAACTGTCAAGATAGTGTCTCATTTTTCTTTTGACCACTGCCTCTATTTCTGGAAGTGACTGATTGTGCATGCAAATATAAATAAATCTTTAAACGCTGCATAACTGACTCTACCTATGTTAGAGTATTTTTGTGCTTCTTCGTTTGAGGTTTTTTTTTAATTTTCTGTTTATTTGATCTTTCTGGTTTAGTACAGAACTAATTTTGCCAAAACCAATACTAACTACATTTTGTATTTGCTAAAAACGATTTCTCAACTTTTTTTCTTTTTTCCCTGTTTCTTTTTCTTTGAACTAATTGTCCTGTCCTCCCTTCCTCAGTCATCACTCATGAGCGTGGTAATTATTAAAAACAACTGCCTATTCTTTATTTTTCCTGCTTTTAGCTTTGTGTCAGTGCTGTACAGATCCTGAATACGATTAGATTTTTTATTCCTATAAGACTGTTAAACCAGTGGGTTCTTTTCTACTGTTGTTCCAATTGTGTATTCCAAAATTCTTGGTTTTTGTGTCAACTCTCCCCACTTTGTTCTTCCTCTCTTTCTCAGGATTTGCATAGTAACTGGCACACTAGATCTAAGAGCAGAAAGCTTTTCTAAACTCCTTTTTTTTTCTGTTCTTTTTTTATTTCTTTTCATTTTAGTGAGCCTAGTATTTGCAATGGATGAATGTTAAAAAAAAAAAGCATACCTATACATACACAAAGCCTTGTGTTATAGTCCTCCTGTAGTATTTATGTCGTGTATTGAATGTGGCTTTATCGCTGCATTGATTTGTGCAAGCACAGGAAATCAGTGGTGGATCCAGTGAGGATTTGAGGGTGGTTAGTAAGGAGAGGACTTGCCACTGGCTAGGTTTAACTAATGCAGTCAGGGGTTGATGCAAGAAAGAGGTGGTGCATCGCTAATGTAGAGGAATCAATAATCTTTACAGGTGGTTCTTCCTTGCTATGAAAGCTACTTGATGTGTTCAGATACCTCAAAGGTTCCTCACTTCAAGCAAAGGAAGAGCTTTGTAGGAGCAGTTGCCGTGAGATGTTCCTGTCACCATGAGAAATGAGAATTTAAAATACAAAGTCTGTATACCATTCAGCAGAAACAATAAGCTCAAACACAGCAGATGTTTTTTTCACTGGCCAAATGTTGGGGAGTGGGATGATCTGGATTTTTGTTTTCTCAGTGGAAGTTTTTTATTTGGCAGATTAACAAAATTCTACACTTAGGATCATGTGTTTTCGTTTTCTTTGTTACTGAGCAGCAGCAATGTCAAGATACAGTAGTGACACTGTCAAAAATTTCTTGGCACAAAGGGATGCTAACAGCACCTTTTTTATGTATTAATATCCAGCTATTGAAAATTCAAGAAAACAGAACAAAGTAAAGCGAAACCAAAAAAGACTGTACTTCTGCTTTTCAGAGTTACGTTATTCTTGATGCTATTCTACCTTCAAATAATAATATTTTTTTATATTATGAAGCACACCTTTTTCAATTCTTTGAAAAGTAGTTTACATAAGAGCTGTACAGGTGCTGGTATTAATACCTGATAGCATTATGAAAGCCCAGCCAGTGTCTCTGTGGAGAATCTCCTGTAGTGAACAGTTTTGAAGTATCCTAGATTTTATGGGATACCTGAGATCACATATCTTTTTGCAATCCTGTGAATAACCATCTGTAAATACTACAAAGGAAGTACCAAAGATGTGGAAATGTTTTCTCCCGTTCCTTTTTTTTTTGAGGGAGATACTCCTAGGAGTAATGAATTAGTCCTCAATTAATGATAATTCTATTGACTCCCAAGGGAATGATGGGATGTAAAATGTGCACTTTAGCCTGTTTCTCATGTCATCTGAATCTGATGCAGAAGCATATTAATGAGTAATTGTCATTGAGTTTACAACCTATAAGCCTGAAACTATTCTTGCCAAAGTCAAAGAAAAACTGATGTTGACACTTACGGGAATAGAGTCAACTTTTCCTCAAGGGAAGTGCTTGTTTCTGGTCCCATACCAGCCCTGGCAATCGTTAGAAAGCCCTGTACTCAGTCAACGTGGATGTGAGATTTATTGCTCTATTCCAACTGTTTCTTTGTGCTGTCTGCATTGTAAGCTCCTTGTCCTGATACTCCTCTGACTGGTACTACCTTCCCTTTCCAAACCCTGGAACCCCCACTGGTAACAACTTTGATGGTTCTTTAGCAACTGTGTTTCTTACTTGTTTTTGTGATGTACTCAGTGTTGTTTCTTCTGTATGTATTTTGTTTTGATTGTTCTGTTTCTTTTTCAAAAAAGCGGGGTTTCAAAGCCAAAGACGTGTAGAAATGTTTTTTATCTTGCAGTGGTTTTTCATGTTTCATTTAAAAGTCATACTCTATGTTATTTCACTGTGAGTCAGAAAAGTCTTGAAAGTGCAATGTTGTTCTCCTTTGGAGAGACTTGATTTACTTATCATATGAAGTAAAAAATTTAAGACATTAAGTTTACACTTAGATTATTTTACCTTTTTTTTTTTCATTTTGTAAGAAAACCTCTATTTTTATTTTTAATCTTTTAATGTTGTATCATGGCGTTATTTTCTTCTCCATAGGTTCTCAGAAGGCTTATTTTAATAAAATACAACTTTAGAATGAAATTTGATCTGATAATTAGGTCTTAAAGGACTTTCTATTAAACTTACTGAGAGTGGTACACATGCCATATAATAAATAGCTGTAATGAGGGTACACATCAGAGCTATTTTCAGCCATTAATAATGTGAAATCAATAAATATGGTTTTGTCCTTCAGCAACCTAGTCACACTTGAAGTGAATGTTTAAATTCTGCGTGATCCACTGTAGCCTACATTGAAGGCATGTTTTCCCCCTTTATATTACTATATTTGAATCAGTGTTTGTATTTGAAAGGGAACTTAAGTAGCTTCATTTCAGAGAAGTTGTTATGTGTCACTCGGTGATAAAACAAGCGCTTTCCTTACTCTAATCAGATTATTGAAAAGTCACAGGCATGCAGCACTCGCAATCCAACCTAGTGTGGCCAGGGCTTGTGATACATTCACTTGGTTTGTCATGCGAGACCTTTGCTCTTGCTTAACAGCCATCAAAAAGGAGCCCTGTTCCTTCTAAAAGCTGAAAGTATTTGTACATTTCTGTAATATCAGCATCAGACCAATGTTCCTGAGTAGTAATAGAAGTCAGATATTTTCTGCTGAGGATTTAAAAAAAAAAAAAGAGAGAATTATTAAACTTGGACACATGCACTTTCAAGGAAGAAAACCATATATTTCATTTTTCATTCAGTCTTATTTTCATTTCCTACATGATACCTCTGTTTCTATATATCACAAACACAAGGTACCAGTTTTGTAAACACTACAGGCTTAAAGCCTTCATGTATGCAGCTGTATCATTTACATACAGCATGAGCAATGGCAGCATTTTAACCTCTAAGCAAATATATGCCAGAATATACTTAATTTCAACAGAAATTAAAGAACATGGTTTTGTGACAACCTGTCATACTATATGCAGTATGTATGTTTGTAAGTACATTATCTATGCCAATCTTTTTGTGTACTGGCATGAATTTGTGTGCATAGCAGCAAAGGTGGTTCTCTTAGATTTTATATAAAAAAAATGGATCTGCACTTCAGTTCTGTAGTTGCCAGTGAGACACCTCTCGCAGTCAGTAAGTAACGTCTGAAAATGAAAATTCCTGTCAATGCCAACGTTGGTTTTAGTCAGATTTTGATCATCTGTAGAAATTGAAAACCAGGGTTCTTTTAAATCTTAGTGTGGCCAAGCTGTTTGAAAGAGGGTTTTTTTGCTTCATTCTGAAATACGTAAAAATACGTAAAAAAAAAAAAAAAAAAAAAAAAAAAAAAAAGAATGGACCTTTCAGTTTATGTGAAATTATGTACCTAGCACCTTCTGATTTTGCAGAATTTTGCAATAACTTGTATTCATTTTGTGATTTCATTACAGTGGAGCTAATTAAAAGACCCTTATTCTGTAGTCTTATTCATACAAATGACTTCAGTCATATCTTTATATGCAAGAAATACATGTTTGGACCCTTTATGAACTTAATTTTTACAATTGTAATACATCAGCAATTTTCCTTGTGAGTTATGTTTTAAAATCATTGCCATCTCAGCAGTCAAGCCACATGCGTTGCATGTGTGAGGATACAGGCTCCACCAAATATTTGGCTTTCTGTAATGCTTATTTTTGTAAAATATAAATATTCGTCTAGATCAACAAAGCATGTGACTCCAGGTGTAACTTTAAGCATGACGGGAGTTCAGTTAAATTTAAAAAAATGAAAGTGACTAATCTGGCATGATATTCTGTACTCTGGTCTTGGGCCAGCAACATATTGAAAGTATCTTGAAGGGCTGAACCTGCATATAATGTTGAATAATACACTTCTGAGTGCACAGGTACCTCTTGATTTTGCCTTCTTGCTTTCTCGGGCATATATTGTATGTATACATTAATCAGCACTGTCAGAAACAGTAATTTATTTTTCATTGTTTAGTTAGCTGAAAGGGTGTTCAGTCTTCTTGTGACTGAAAAACTATGTATCTGGTATTTTTATATGGGATGGAGAAAAATGTCATGGAATATCATTTATAGTATTTGGCTCATTCTTGGAAAAAGAATTGCTTCATGTTTGCCACTACCATAAGTACACGTCTGGGATTAGGAGGAATAGCATTTTATCTTTCCCTGTGTTACAAGAAACTGTGCTGACAACACTTTAGTGATATGTAGTCTTAATACCAAACATTATGTCTTGA